CGTAGGCTGTAACTCTCCAAACCCTCAGTCCCTTCATCGTGGCCTTTTGCCTTCACCTTCTCAGCAGATGATGGGCCTGGCCACTCTGAAGTCTGAAGAAGGTCAGAAGAACAGTTTGCGTAGGCAAACAACTCTCAGAACTCTCAGAACGCTGCAACTCTCCAAACCCTCAGTCCCTTCATCGTGGCCTTTTGGTTTCTTCGGTGGTGGGCCTGGCCACTCTCAAGTCCGAACAAAGTCTGAAGAGAAAACAACTCTCAGAATTCTCAAAACTTTCAGACCCTTTCAAGTCCTTCAGGCTCTGGAGGGGGGCGTCGACGCCCATCACGGGCGGCCACGGTTCCGACAGTTCAGTATACTTTCACATCCCAACATTTTCTTAGCCGTGAAATAGTATCTATCCACATGAAAACTTATTCTGGATGTCCTCGAGGAATCAAAGAAGTCAGGACAAGTGGTGCCTTTGGGCCTCAGCCCCACAACTATCGCGCTTCCCAAGACTCCCCAAAACTCTCAAGAGTCATTTCATGCCCTTTAAATCTCAAGACTCGTTTCACGTGTCACGTTCCTCGATGGCTTGAGGAGGAGGTTATCGATGGCGACTCTGTGACAGCTCCTCGATTTATATCAAACGAAAAAGAAACAAATTTCAAACAAAACACCTTCAAACACTACACCTTCTTCTGAAGCAGCCGTACCCACTGCTCCTGCTAAGTTCAGCTGAGTAGAGCTGGGTCGTGGACGCACTCCTGAAGAATATATGTGGACTCCTGAAGAATATATGTGGACCCCTGAACTACATGAACTCTCACAATCTCTCCTCTCTTCAAAACTCTCTCAACGCCTGAACGTTTCGGGCCTGCCCCAGGTGGTGCCAACCTGGTGCCTGTACGTGCTCGATCAGGGGGCGAACACGGGCAACTCTCGAGAACTCTCCTTAAGTCCCATACTCTCCAAACATACCTGGAATCGCCTAGCTCCCAGGATCCGCATCCGAATTTATGTAGTTGGCCCATGCGTCGATCTCTATATAATGCATGTATAGTGTTGCTTGCGAACATCTCGTGAGGCCAAAGAATCGAAACATCAGATTGCTTGACCTATAGGACGCCAA